TATTAATCCTCTCTCTCTCTCTCTCTCTCTCTCTCTCTCTCTCTCTCTCTCTCTCCTCTCTCTCTCTCTCTCTCTCTCCTCTTCTCTTCTCACAACGAGTATAGTTTTGAAATAACGAGTAAGATCGAACACTTTTTACTGAGTTCAACCCCTATTTTTCCCCTTCGTCGATGATAAACGATCTGGAGTGTTCAGAACCGATCCAGTGAAATATTTTCTAGGAGGGGAGCGTTACGATCGCCCCTCTCCGCTCCACCCAAATCAAATCGTCTTATTGCCTCCGAAAAGTGGTTAAAGGGTGGTTGAAAAGGTGTTAGTAGTGGAAGGAAGGATTTGAAAAAAGGTGCTATGGGATGAGAGGATGGGAGGGTGGGAAGGGGGTGAAAAGTACGAGGAAGAAAGGAAAGACAAAAAGGAGGGAGAAGAGGGTTTTGTGCTAGTGGAGAGGTGAGAGGAAAAGAGAGCTAGGTGGTGCTTGTGGAAGGGAAAGGGAGGAAGAGAGGGTATGGGAGAGGAGAGGAGGGATGAAAGGGGTCCTAATGAAGGATGGGAGAGGCGGTAGAGATACTTAAAGTGGTAGAATAGGTTTTTAAGGAGGAGAGATAGAATGGATGGGTGAAGTGTTACTGAGAGAGAGAGAGAGAGAGTCGATATTAATTGGAGATGGTTGAAAAGAGCTGGGGGTGTTAATAGGAAAGGAAGAAAGGAAGGGAGAAACAGAGAAAGGAAAGGGTCACAGTGAGTTGGTCTTAATGTTAGTGGAAAGGAAGAAGTGGTTCAGAGAGGGAAGAGATAAAGAAGGTCCGATAGTAGTAAGACGAAGGAGGGAGGAAGGGGGTCGGAAAGATTGATGGAGGATGGTAGATGAATGGCATTAAACGATGGCTCTACCCGCTGCAGTAATGATGGCACCCTCTCACCCTGATTGATTAAGTGGTTATCGGATGACGTTTCAATTTACCAGCCCGCTTATATTTCCTAAATTACGAATGAACTTTAACCGTTTATGTGAATGGTCTTTTTTATATATTATACTGTATGGTAGAAACTAGTGGATAGCTCCGTGTGTTGGGACGTGTCTTGACAGGTGCTCGTCAGGAATGAAAAGATAGGAAAGTTTTATTTCGATTTTTCTGTCGTTTTACCGGGTTCAGTTTTCATTCTACATCTTGATGAAAATTTCTGACTGAAGTCAATATCCCTCCCCTCCATCCATCCCGTACTCTTGATAGGTACTCGTCAGGAAGTGAAGGTGGAAGAATTTTTTCCCGGGGTCCAGTTTGCCTCCCCGTCTCCTGACAGGTAGCCGTCAAGGTCTGGATATACAGAAAGGACTACTGGGGTGTTCGTTTGTGTCTGAGAAGTCGTAGAAATATTATCTCTTCCTCCCGAATAATTATTGAGGACTGGAGCTGCCTGAAACACCTGATTGATACTGAAACACCTGAGTCGCTGAAACACCTGACTGATACTGAAAAACCTGGGTGGCTGGAACACCTAACTGATACTGAAACACCTGAGTCGCTGAAACACCTGACTGATACTGAAACACCTGGGTGGCTGGAACACATCGATACTGAAACACCTGAATCGCTGAAACACCTGCCTGATACTGAAACACCTGGGTGGCTGAACACATGACTGATACTGAAACACCTGATTCGCTGAAACACCTGACTGATAAGAAAACACCTGAGTCGCTGAAACACCTGACTGATACTGAAAACCTGGGTGGCTGGAACACCTAACTGATACTGAAACACCTGAGTCGCTGAAACACCTGACTGATACTGAAACACCTGGGTGGCTGGAACACATGACTGATACTGAAACACCTGAATCGCTGAAACACCTGCCTGATACTGAAACACCTGTGGCTGGAACACATGACTGATACTGAAACACCTGATTCGCTGAAACACCTGACTGATAAAGAAACACCTGAGTGACTGAAACACCTGGGAGGCGCGTTAAAGAACTCAATCTGGTACACCGAGGAAGTGGCACCTTGACTCACTCAGCAATTACAATTGTAAATTTTAGGTGAAAACTGGAGTGTGTCTTGATTGTGTGTTGGGAGACACTGGTGGAGAGATGGTAGAGGCTAGGGGAGGAAGGAGGAAAGGTGGGAGGCCAGGTGGGAAAGGGGGTGGAGGCAGGGTGAAAGAGGGCCCCTAGGAAAGGAGGGAAAGAGGGAGAGAGAGAAGTTGTGAGGGGAAGATGGGAGGGGTTGTGGCTGTATGAAAGGAGGAATGACAGTGGAATCGGAAAGAAAGAGAGAGAGAGAAGGAGAGGAGAGAACAAGTTAATTAATTCCACACACACACACACACACACACACACACACACACACACACACACACACACACACACACACACACACGCAGTCCTATATAGACATGATATAAATAGTGTAAGCAGATACTAGTGCTGTGACGACATAGGACTGATGCCCATTATAACACGGCCTTAATTATATTGGTCAAATTAGGTAAAATAAGACTTGGGCCCAGAGAGAGAGTACAAAACACAGATTAGACAGACAGACAGACAGACAGACAGACAGACAGACAGACAGACAGGAGTAAGGGTATTAGGAATTGATCAGGACACACAGTCTCTTGGGATGTTGACAGCCCTCGTTGGTCCTCCTGAAGGAATATCAGTGTTGATACAGCCAGCAGCAGAGACAAAGTCCCGACATCACCAGCAGAGCTCAGGTAGGCGAGGGTGCTGGGAGGAGGAGGAGGAGAGGAAGAAGACAACCAAATGGTGGCAACAAAACACGAGCAATAAAGGAAATAAAAAGGAGAGGAAGATAATGATGGAGGGAGAGGAGAGAGGAAGGAACGTCAAGCAAGGGAGGAGCCTTTGTCTTAGCAAAGGGAGAGATGATGATAAAGTGAATCGGAAATGGAGGAGCTATTGTTTGATGGAGGGGAGGGAGGGAGAGAGGAAGGGTAAGCTACATGGGCGAACATTATTATCAGACCACATCGTGTTCCTTTTCCAAGTTTTCAGCCATTTTCTTTTAGAAATGACTTGCCTCGTTTTGTTTCCACTCAGAACTTTTATATGACATGACAGTCGAACGAACGAATAGCCTGTTTACTTTCTCTCTCTCTCTCTCTCTCAGTTTTACTCTGTTTTCCTGAATTTCCGCATTTGCTTATTCACTATTTACCCAAATCACACACACACACACACACACACACACACACACCCACAACAACAACAACACACACACACACACACACACACACACACACACACACACACACACACACACACACACACACACACACACACACACACACACACACACACACACACACACACACACACACACACACACACACACACACACACACACACACACACACACACACACACACACACACACATACACACACACACACACACACACACACACACACACACACACACACACACACACACACACACACACACACACACACACCATAAGAGCCCATTTCATATAGGTTCCCTCATAACATTACCCCATAGAATGGATTTTGATCCCCACTACCCCAGGTCACACACACACACACACACACACACACACACACATATATCATCCCAGAAACAACGATGAGATTCGGAATTTATTGGGAATGTGTTTGCCAGACTGGAGAGGGACAAACAACATGGGCGGAATGGGATCAGGAATTTCTGTGCCTCCTGAAGTCAAGAGTTTGTTTTGGTCTGAACTGTTTAAAGGCTGGGCAGCTGATGGAGGCAAGGGGGGAGAAGAGAGGGGGAGAAGAGAGGGGAGGAAATGGGAGAGGAGAGGAAGGGTGGGAGAGGCGGGAGAGGAGAGGAAGGGGCAGAGAAAGAAAGAGAAAAGGGGAAGAGAGGAGAGTTAAAGGAAGGTGCAGAGGGGAAAGGAGGAAGGAAGCTAGGGGAGAGAACGAGGTATGGAAGGGAGACAGAAAGGGTGAGGAGGAATGTGAGCTGTCTCCCTTTATGTGTGATGGGATGATCTTGATGGGCATGATGGGAGTAAAGGAGGAAAAAAGAAGCATATTGTATGTATGTATGTATGTATGTATGTATATAATGATATTAGACTATAAATAATGTTTTGAAGGGAGTGAAGAAGAATAAGAGTGGAACAGGTCAGTAGGGTTGAAAAATGTTCCATAACAGATAGGAATTAATGACCATCTAGTCGATTATTCTTTTTTTTAACCTGGTATTTAAACTCTATATTGTACGATAAATTTTCTTCTCGTATCTTAAGATGTCTTCATGTTCCCAAGACGTTTTAAAAATATATCATCAGATAAGATAAAAATAGTCTGGGTGTATAACTTAAGTAGATACGTTTACTAACGCCAACACAACGTGAAATTATTGAATGTCCGGAGAAAAAAAAATCTAAAATTATTTGTTAAGTGACTTGGCCTCGTTAAGGTATAGTCTCAGTCTATATTTGTTGCCATGTGTTTGTCTCGTACTACTGCGTTCTTACGTCTTTAATTACGAGTAGAATTTATCGTACTAACATTTTGAGAATCTGTACCCAGGTTTAGGTCCGTCTTTTGAGTTTATTGGTAAGTAAATGATGCAGAAAGTAAAAAAGGAGAATTGAAAAAAATGAAAATATAAAGAAGAATAAGGAGAAGAATAAGAAAGAAAAAGGACTAACTTGTTTCTCGATAACAAGTTTGTCTTTATTTAACGATACTTGGCAGTGTTGTGTCTGTCTTTTTCTTTTCCTTGTGGTTTTATTTTTTTTGTCTTTTCCTCATCTCATCTTTACTACTTGTACGTCTTCTTGTTCAATATTCTCATTTTCTCTTGTCTTCTTCTCTTGCTATCGTCTTCTCTTATTTATTTATCCATTACTCCTACCGACTCATTCCAGAATTAATGGGATGTGACATGTTTTTGGGTACTCAGCAGCGCCTATGGTGGCCGTTCTGGCAACTAATCTTTGCTACTTATGGTGATACGTCATTTGTAGAAGTGTACTG